AACGTCCTAGAAGAGCGTCACGAACATCTTCCCATGTACGTAATTATCACCGTGGTATGTGAAAACTGGAGAAACTCTTCCGGTTGGTTTATACCGGTCGAGGCAGGTCGGAATAGAACGCGAACCCATCTAATTTTTCAGCACCCATCGCATCGCCGTTTAATAACATCCGTACCAGATCTTGCCAGAGGTATTCTCCTCTTCTCTCTCTCTCTTTCTTTTTTTCTTTTTTTTTTTAATCATTTGATTAGAGAAGAGAATGGCGGCAATTACCCGAGCTACTTTCCTCGAAGCAAAGTTTCCTCAATTTTGTTACTTAAACAGGCTTGAAAAATTATCCTCTTATATAATGTTTAATTGATACTTTTTTTTTTTTGAAGTAATTTAGAATCGTAATTAAGAGGAGGAATTAAAAAGAAACGAAGAAGAACACTCTTGAAAGTATTCTTTCGTTCTTTAGAAAACGGTTAAAGACTATAAATAATAGATTTTTATCATCGATGATTAAAAGATCGATCGAAATGATGGATAACGATAATCGAATTCGATGTTTCTCAAGAAATATAATACTATTATTTCTGTTAAAATCAATAAATTTCGTCATATTTTAAATCTTATCGTGGCACCAAATATAAAATTATAATTGTAAATTTGCCTTTTAAGAAGGAAAGAGAGAGGTGTTACTAATTAACTTATTCGAGAAATTTATTCAAGAATTTCATTCCTCCGCTTTTACTACAGCCTTTATAACGCTCGATCGTTGGATTGTGCGATACCGTTAATTTCACGAGATTTTTGACACTGTTTCGCGAATTTAAGAAATTCATTATTGTCCCTGCTACGCGGCTCAAGGTGTTTAAACACGTAGGGGGAATTTGTTGTTTCGCTCCTTTCGCTTCTTTCTAATCAGCTTGGCACCGTTTTAATCTCGCCGCTTTCCTTTCCGGCTCAAAATGCTTATTTGGCACGGCGTAACGTCCATTAAAATGCCTCCTTTGCCATCTTTCATGCCCGCTATACATACTTTTACCACCTTCGCGTCACGTCATTTGCACACGCTTAATTTATCTCTTACTTCTTTCTTTCTTTACGTAAACGTTAAATCTCGTAACCACGCGTGATCAACCATTCGACTCGATAAACGATTGTCAATTATCCGGATTAATCCGGAGGAAGAGCGAAGAAGGAATAATTGTCGCTCGTAAGTAACAGCAGATACGAGGTAAGAAAGCGATCTTTGAGAAACGTAACGATCATGGAGAATGAATGCAATTATCAGAGGGGGGTCGCTCTTTATCGGGCCGCTTTCTTCGTAAAAGGCATGGAGTGGCGACCTTTGCAGAGGTCGCTTAAACGACGCTCGAGTTTCACCAGCACGCTCATCCCACGCGTTTGCCTCACCGAACCTCGTTTACACCGAGATCGATCCTCGCGCACTTCCTTCTTCCTGTGAAGGAAGGGGGCAGATCACGACGAGAAACCCGCTCGCTCGACCCCGTGTGTTCCGTGCGAAACGTCGAAAATTGTCGGGTACACGAGGAAATACGAGAGGTGATCCGCGCTGGTAATCAATCGGGATACACGATGCAATTTGGGATAACCGTTTGATACCGAAGAGAGAGAGAGAGAGAGAGAGAGAGGTATATTCGTGATCTTCGCGTGTCTTCTTCACGAGAGGAAAAGGTAGCGCTCGATTCCCCTGTCGATGTATTAGAGTGTGTATGATCGGTGAGGATGGTTTCCCGCTAGTCGAATGGTGGATCGTTTCACGTAATGGTTTATACTCTCGCGCAAATCGCGTAGAAAGTTGTGATAAGGAAAGAAGTGGTGAAATTGAAGAAAAGGTGTCGCCGGAGGTTTCTGTGCCGTCTAAGATTCGTTTCAGAGACGCCTTCAAGGCGTCTCTCTCTGCTTTATGAACGAATACGTGTCATTCAAGAATGTCTCGCGTTAAATTGCAACAAAAACCTTGTTAATATTCATCAAACGTTATTCCGTTATTCAACCGTAATTCAACGGGGAAATGTGACACGTGCACTAGGTTTATCGCATATATCGCATCTGATACAAACACAGCCACGTATGATTTATCGCGCCGCGATTATGCACAGTTCTTACATAGTAGGCGAGGATCGTAGATTTTCAATTTTTCACATCTTTTATCAGCAACTAACTAACCTATTAATAAATTAAATCGTCGACAACTTTTAATAACCATTATTTCTATGCACAATCGTTATCGATAATTTTCAAGCTATCGACGTGTTATGTAAGTTTTATTATGGGATTCCAATGCGATCACGTCGTACAATAATAATAAATATATCGAACTTATTAGCTTCCTATTCCTCCACAAGAGATACGTTAATCCCTCGCGAATAGAATACGTAGATAGATTTTTTTAGGAATTGATTGAGAGAAACGATCGAAAGAAAAGGTAGCCGACCATACGATAGATAATTACTGTTGAGAGATTCTAATCCCGAATGGGGATTATCCGGGATCGATAAATCCAAATCGTGCACGGACGTGGATCGATAGAAGAAGACTAGCGCGCGCAAAAAAAAAAAAAAAAAAAGAAGCATCGATGACCCGGGTCGCTCTCACGCGTTGTGTCTCAGCTGTTCACTTCCGCTAGTGAAAGGTGCATGCACACTCACCTGGTCGTCTATGGTAAAATGCGCTTACGTACACCTACGTGCATCCTTGGTGTGCGCATCTGACTAGCCAAGTACACCTCTTCTGTCAGTAACCGGCGATGTTTGCCTGGAAAGGTAGTCTTAGATCGACGCATCACTCTGATTGAAATTCTAACGGGTGTCCCGCGGGAAAAACGATCAGATTTCTACGCGCGTGTTTAACTCGAAAGGCGAAATCAATTTCGTTCGTCGTATCGCATTCGTTTAAAACTATTATTTCGCCGTTTCAATCCATTCTCACGATTGAATTTACATTCAATCTTTTCCTATGGGAAAGAATTCTATTATTAATAATAATAATAATAATAATAAAAAAAGATTGAAAGAAATATCCAAGAAAAACGAACTTTCGATCGAGATTTTGGAAATTTTTTTGGAAGAACTTTGAATTAAATTAAAGCTGTAATTTTCTTAACAACGTGTCTATAAATTTGTTGCGTAATCATTTGTATCTATGGATGTGGATTTTCCCAGGTGTATCTCGCAAACGCTCAATAGGAATAGGAGAGGCGACGATCGATTTTAAGGAGAAAAAGAGAAATGCGGAAAGACGAATGTTCGTTCAAGAGAGACTGTTCTTTCGCGGGTACATAGTATTTCTTTCTTTTCTTTCCTTCTTTTTTTTTTTTTTTTTTTTTTTTTTTTTTTTTTTTTTNTTTTTTTTTTTTTTTTTTTTATATATATCTTCTTTTTATTATGAAAACGTGTTAACTCGCGTATCGATAACCAACGTGTACTTGACATTTTGACGAGTGTCAATTACGCAATCATTTTGATGGCTCATAACCTCGGTGATTATGGCTTCAATGACATCCTATCTGAAACCCTGTCCATTTTCAGCGAACTTCATCCTTGACAAACGCGAACTTCCAACCGATATCTTACTCGAATTCTCTCAAGTTCGGTAATTTATATATATATTTTTTTTTTTTTTTTTTTTTTGCACTTTGACCCGCCTACGTGACTTTCGAGTAGAGTTGGCCCGTTATCGAGACGTTTGGCCTGCAGTCTGATATCGCTTGAAATGAAAATCATTCTTTTTGAAAGAGCGTACATCGCGATACTTTCCCCGAGCATAAAAATGAAATCGGGAAGAAGATTGCTCAGTCTTGTCACGATACGTTTTGTAATTCTAATAGCCGGAATTTCTAAACCATTTTATTTCGACTGATTCGGTCTGCCAAGTGGAGCGGCTTGTTTAAAGATGATGCCGATTTCTTGCATCATTTTATTGGCCTAATTCCAGTCGATTTGTATTCATATTTGGGAAACATCCTTTCGTCTGCTTGTGTAACTTTTTTACACACCTTCGTAGAGTGAATACCAAAAGTACCAATCTCTTGATTTTTTATCCAATTGATAGAGACCATCCATACGAGCACGATAATGATTACTGCGTTTGATGTTGTAGAATCTTATATAATTTCACTTGATAAATCCATCAACACGTTTGTGGAAATTCTCATTGCATTATCTGATTATGTCGGTTTCCGAGAAACGTATTACGATAAAAATATTCCAGACAGCAATAATAATTTTTCTCGTTTCGATAGATAAAACGATATTTTATAAAAATATAAACGATAATCTCACACACTGTTTAGTTGTAATTAAGAAACTATCGTAATAATTAAGAAATAATTGACACTTAATCTATTTTATATATTATTTAGATAAATTAACGTTTAAGTTACGAACATAAAATCATATATTTCATACATAATAATTTTTACAGAATCATATGTGGAAATAGATGATATATAAAAATAGACGTATCGATACGTGATTTTTAAGGCGTTATCAATGCTACGTCTAATAAATCATAGATATATTATATCACTATTACGTAGTGTAATATATACTTCTTTTTCTCATTTATAAACATTCAAATATTATTTTTAAATTATTTCATTGAATAACAATGAATAACGTGTAAGAATAACAATATTAATCGAACGATCTCATCGCAGTACCTTAAAATGGATTGAATAAAAATAGCAGAATGAGTAAGAAAATTTTAAATGAAAATAAATAATTCGTTGATAAATAACATCTTATCTCTGTACATGTAATTTTATCGAGGATCAATATGATTTCCGGAGCAAACAAAATTGTATTTTGTATATTAAAATCAACAAGATCGGTGAAAAAGAAAAAGAGTGGAAGACTAATAGAGAATTTCTTTTTTTTTTTTTTTTTTCCAATATCGAATAAAACAGGTAATGATTCACTTGTAATCAGGATTATTATCATTAAAAGTAATAGGTTTTAAAAATCAAAATTACGTAAACGATTTTTTTCTTCGAGAAAAAACACAATGAAATTTCGTAGAATCGTTATACGAAAAGTCAAGCGAGATCCAATGTTTAATTACTAATTATTTTACCATGTTTTTGGAAAATCCATCTGAAAATGTAATATATCATTTTAATTAAGATACTTTATAATTTTCCCTTCTTAAATTAAAAAAATTTTTCTTTCTTAAAAAAAAAAAAAAAAAAAAGAAAGAAAAATAAATCTAGACTAAGAGAAATTTCTCCAAAATTTGTTTCGCAAAAATATTTCTATTTACCTCGTTTTACGGTACTGGCTTCGATAAAGGTATGCTCGTCATCATCGTGAGCATTTCTGTATATTTGGCAAAGGCTTTTTTTTGCAATTCTTCACCCAACCATCCCACGCCTTGAACCCTTCCAAACTTTGAATCTTCTTAGCGCAAACGATATCGTCTCTGATATCGTCATTCGCGAAATCCTCGCAACGTTTTCTGCAAATGCCTCCACTATGTCCCCTGGAACACCATTTGGCGCTGTTAATTTGGAAAATCCCGTAACTGTAGCTGGAGGCCGTCTTCGGCCCGGTTATCAAATTCGTGTTCAATCCACTCTCGTTCTGCATCAAACAGATCCAACTGCTGATATCGCTCCTTGAGATTCTAGCTTGTTGGAGCTGTTGCACGATTTCGCATTCCGTCAGAATTTTGGCTATAACCTGGCTGTCGATCAGAACGACGAGGAACAGCGATATCAGCCACGGTTTCATCTTCTTCGTTTGTTCCTCGACGCCGATCCGTTATCGATCTATAATAAGATCGAACGATATTTCGACGCGAAACACTATCGCGTGCTACCGTATGCACCGTGACGAGGATTCGTCTTAAGTGATAGACACGACGTTGCCTCGCTTGTTATGTTATACTCGATCGAACTATGTATGCAATCGCATCGCAATTGCACGATAAATTGTAATTTTCTAATTGTCGTCCTCTCAAACGGAACGAAACGAAACGTTCGACAATGAATGCCTTTGTTCTTCTACACATTTTTATTTTCGCCATTCGTTATTCCTCGGTGAATACGTTTAATTAACTTGAAATTGATTTGAATTGTACCTTTTCAACACGTTCAAGACAGAATTATCCATCGGTAAGGGGCATGTAATATTTTTATGTTCGTCTATACGACTTGTTAGATTAGTTATTGCCCTCTAAAGTCTTTCAAACTGACACGAGAGGTTAATTATTCAAGATAATATTAGCTTCGAAAGTATCTAATCGTTGAGCTATAACAAACATCGATAGATAGTTTCGCGAACTTTGTTGTCGCTATGAACATTTTAATATTATCATAAAAATGATATTAAGAAGAGTCGATAAGACTCTTGAGTAACCAGTGAAATTGTAAACATTCAACATTGATTTCGTAAAAGAGGCGGTAATATTTTAAGTTTACAAGAAATGGGAAAATAATAGATATGTAAAACGCATTATATTTTCATTTGTATTGAACAATTGATTATCGAATAATGGCGGTATATACCAATACGAACAATCATCTTACATCATAGTGTTTACATTCGATAATAACGATACTCGATAATTCGATACTTGATCGACAACAACTACACAACGACACGAGTCTTATTGCGTCAAATCCCATAATATTTCCAGCCATCGTTTTCGTCGTTTGCAATTTCCAATATTCGGCAATGGCTTGTTTTTGCATTTCTTCATCCAACCATCCCACGCTTTGAACCCTTCCATAGCCTGAATCTTCTTGGCGCATTCGATATCGTCTCTGATATCGTCGTCCGCGAAATCTTCGCAACGTTTGTTACATTTTCCTCCACTGTGCCCCCTGGAGCACCATTTCGCGCTGTTGATCTGGAAGATTCCGAAACTGTAGCTCGAGGCTGTTTTTGGACCAGTGATCAACCGTGTGTTCATTCCGCTCTCGCTCTGCATCAAGCAGACCCAGTTGCTGATATAGGTTCTCGGGATTTGAGCTTTTTGAAGCTCTTGCACAGCTTCGCATTGAGTCAGAATCCTCGCCTCCACGTGGTTGTCGACCAGAACAGCCAGAACGGACAGAATTAAGAACAGTTTGATCATCTTTCCTTTCCTTTGAGATTAATCGTTATTATTGATCGAACCAGGCTCGAATGATGTTCCAACTTTATCTCATGCAATTGTACCGTAATAAAGATTCGCACTTAAATATCACGCGACTTACTTCGCCGTTTGTGTCATACTGTGTGTCGTACAAACGATGCACGACGTCATTGAGCTTGACTGATAAATTATAATTTCCTAGGCACTGCGTGGCCGGAAATAATGTCTGTTGTCTTGTGTCTTTGTTCTTTTATAGGTAATTTGGCGCCACTCGTCTTCGAGACAGGTTGACTCGATAAATTTCCAATCAATTTTGATCTTTTTCTTGATGATAAATTGGTTTTTTACTCGTTACTTGTTTTAAAACTTTTTTTATGACAGTGACTGAGAAGTGCTGATAAGATTGAACATGGATTACGAATAATTGTTGTTTTTTGTAATATTCGACCTTCTAATTTCTGTTTCTATAATTAACTAATTTGCAGAAATTTAAGGAAATAATGCCTATAATTTTTTATAGCTTTATTAGTAGAAATTGCAAACGAGTTATATATGTATATAGAATATTCTAATTGTAACAATCTAGTAAGATTAAAAAATTTTTTTTATATATAGATGAATTGCACTCGAAGAGTAATCGAAGAGGAAGATAAAGCGAATCTTATTTACATCTCTACATGATATAAAGCGTTATCGATCAAAACAGATTATAACGAAATACGAAGTTAATTGAAAAGATGAGATAATATTTATTCAAGAGATTAAACGTGTTTTGAAAATTGTACAAACAAATAGTTCTAAAATGAGGAATTAATCATTTCCTAAAGAGGATATTTATCAGGAAACGAGGAACTAGTTATATTGGGAAAAGATTCACAAGATATCGGTTAATTGCTATCTTCAACTAACGAGAAAATTTCATCACGATCCTTAAAAAGACCTTGAGCGGAACCTTATAAGTTGAAGATACTTTCTAACCGAGGAAAAATATGGGTAGCGTCTGAGATATTTTCCTCGGGGAATGGAAATGTAGGATCGAATAAAGAGAAAAGGAAATTTCGAAGCGATAAATTGATAATATATAGAAGAACAATTTATATTTTCAAGCTTCTTTTTTTTTTCAAAGATAATAACAAAATTGACGTAACAAAAATTATTTAATAAAGAAATTTTATTTCGATAAAACGTCGAAGCGATCTTAACGAATTGTATAAATGATTATGCAAGTAAGAAAACTCGCATTGCTAGAAATTGTACGATACTGTTTGCGGTGTAGATAAAGAAATAAAATAAAATAGGCAGTATACGTAAAATTCACAAATTAAAATTTATACACAAGGCACAATAATATCACATTTACTTACATTAAATTTGTTCGATAACGTAACGCTACGTTTTTTTAGGAGTATTGGCATCTTAAATTGTTTTAAGTTATTTAGTCACGAAATTATTCACTTTCGTGCGGAACTAATAACAACTATTTATAAATTCTTCGCTTTTTTTTTTATATTATAATACAAATAAATTTATTATGATGGAATATATAGTATTGATTTATAAAAAAAAAAAAAATACTAGTATACTCTTCCGAGCTTAAATGAAAAATATTCAGCGTAATAAACTAATAGCAACCAAAAAAAGCGATACATCACATTTATAACGTAAATAATGCCAAGATTTAATAGTCGATGTACAAAATATCAATGTGTCATGAAATTTTTTTTCTTTTTTCCTCGATCCTCATCAATATTCTGTATATCATTAATAATTTCTAATATTTAAAGTATATATTTATACGTAAAAAGATAAACGATGATCAAAGTATTCAATACTTCTTTCGTTAAATATATCTTCGTTATTTTATTAAATTAAAGTTTACAAGATCTGTTTTATCGACACAACACACAGTTCAACTTGATCATTATGATAATCTTATTAGAGGAAAAACTTTGGTGAATTCGCGATCGGCATTAAATATTCAATGTACGTTTCAGTCCGTTAATTACACCGTGTATATACAAAATATTCTATCTACGAAATGTTCCGACATCGCATGATTAGAATCATGATTTCTATCTTATCGACCGAGATAAGGTAGTTATTTTAAAGATCATTTCATTCAACCCGCTGTACGCGTTAAATTAGCCCGTCTGGCTTTGGCATATTGTAATATTTCCGGATTTTCGTAAATCATTTGGGCTAGTGTCTCTGTTCCAGCCAAGGTGTCAGCCTTGGTTCCCATACACATGGACCATTGCGTCTCTGACAGATCTTTACTGCACTCGACATCGTGATAAACGTGAACCAAATCTTTGTCAGCCGCTCTAAAGATCTTGATACTCGACTTGATTACTTTTTCGTAGAAATCTACGTCCTCCTTGCCCCATCCTTGAATGGACAGATTGAAACCGCCCACGTCTTTGTAATCCTGTTTGTACAAAGAGACAATACCGAATCCAAATTGCCTCCAATATCCCGCCATTTCGTTTACGGCGAACGTGTCTGGACTTTTGGTGTCCCCGTAAACGATCTTTGGATCATATTGACTGAATACCACCGGGAAATATATTTGTCTACCTAAAAGAGTATTGACGCGAATTCTGTAGAGAGCCGACTCGGTAAATGCTATATCGACGTCGATGAAGAGCATTAAATCGTTGTTCTTCAATCTCGATACACCGTGATTAAGAGCCTTGGCTCTGGAAAATGTACCAGAAATAGGAATAATATCAATACTGGCGCTACGATACTTATATTTCAATCGTTCCACCAAATCTATCGTTCGATTGAACGAGTTTTCCGTTCCGTGATGATAGAGCATGACCAACAGCGCAGTCCTCTCTCCACTCGTTAGACAGATTTCTTCGTAATTTTGCAGGAATCTTCGAAAAATCTCGTATCTTCCGGATAATGGTAGAATAAAATGAATGATCTTATCCTTGACCGGATCCACTTCCTCGAAGTTGAAATTCAAGTTTAAGAAACCGCCGCGGAATATATTTTGCAAAGACTTGTCGCTTTCTCGATTTTTTTGCGTCTCGTCAACTTCCATCCCGTCCACCGTTTCTCGTATTTCCACTCCTTGAAAAAGAAAGAAAGAAAGAAAGAAAGAAAGAAAAAAAAAAACAATATTTCTCAATGTCGCTGTCTCATTCGTTTCGCTTTTTATTTCATCAATGTTTTCTAAAAGCAGAGAAAATTTCTCAGGCTTCTAAAGGCTACCTGTAAAATGTTGATGAAGATACACGTGCCTCCTAACTGGTAGCGTAACCTTTCTACCTCTGTACTTTCGATACACGAGAAGAAGATCCAGTATCGTGTCAGCACCGTAGGAATCTACTCTTCTGTACCCGTAAAGAGTCGACCTTTCCTCCACTACTCGACCACGCTGTCGTGAACAGGCATTTATGGAAGCCATCACTTCTCTCGTAATGTCCTCCAAACCTTCTTTTATGTCACTGTGAATTCTTCTTCTGGGATTCGAATCCCCCAAGCTGTACTCGGATCTCGACAAGAAATCCCAAGGAATTACTTCGTCGCTTGTCGTCGGTTTGAACGAACGAAGTCCTGCCGAAACACCTGAAAGAAAAATATTATGTAATAAAAAATGCAACGAAAAGCGACAGATTTCTTTTCTCTCTCTCTCTCTCTCTCTCTCTTGTAAAAACTTATACCGATAATTATGCGGAATAATAAGATTATTCGTCGTACCGTATTCGTCGTATCATAAAATGATTTATCTCTCGAATTCATCGATGTATTTAAAATCGTTTTATTATTATCGCGCGAATGTGAAATCCGTTTTATGCGTACTCGTGAATTAGGCGTGAATACAAAGCAGAATACAGAAGAGATGAAAATTAGTAGAGTCACGATCGAAGTGGCGATCGTTCCGTGTGATGGGCTGAAACGAATCGTGTCGTGGCTCGCATCTGCTCCGCCACGTATGCCCGACGATCAATTCGCATGGGCTAATCGGTCTAAATGGCTCTATTAATAACGCACATCCAGGGAAACGCGATTGTTCTTGAAATCAATGATTCACGCTCGCCTCGTCAAATATTCCGTAGCTTCGAAAAGCACGCGCGAGATTTCGAGGATCGAGTTTATCTCAATGACGAAATCGTTTAACCCACCCACCCATTCCCCGTGTTAATTTTACGACCTCGAAATTCTTGGCAAATATAACCCATTTACCCAATATTTCGGTGTCACCGGGATACAGTTTCGAATATGGTTTGACTGGAAACAGCGGGACACGATCGGCTATCTCGTAATTCTTCAGATTCTCCACGCTGATCCCCAATTGCTTCGCCATGGTGTAGATATCCCTGTGAAGATTGAGTCTCTCTTGTTGCAGATCTTGAATCTTAAGCCCCTGGAAGAAACGAAAGAGAGGAAAAGCTTTTTGAGCAAACTGAAGGCAAGAGGAAACGATTACGAGGTAACATTAGCCCGATACCAACCCTCATGTAATTGTGCAATCTGTACATGTGCGGCGGATTTTTAACAGGATGCAACGTAATAGCACGGTGAACTTCTTTTTTCTTCAAGTTTCCGGTGAACGCTTGCGCCCCGGAACTGTTGTGATATAGGATAGACTGCATCTGCAAAAGCGAAAGCATCCAGTAAATTGTTCCAGCTGTTTTAATTAAGATTAAAACGACGGAAACGGATGACGTGTCGTCGTGTCCCGTTTATTACTTCGATATCACGAAGATATCGAGATTTCGTTGTTGATCCGCGTGTAATAAACGATAATATCTTCAAAAAATTCGAATATTTTTAGAGAATATCTTCAGGCTTAGAGATTCTAAAATATTGTAAACTTCCTGCCGGTTCACTGGTCTCATAATAAATATTAGCGCGTATACGAAACCGCATCTCTACTCGAGGAGCAAGTGTTAATCAAGCTGTGAGACTGGGTGTGGTAGTATCTTATTACAAGGAATTATTCTAGTGTTACATCTCTTGAATTAACTTGGCCATATTCTAACATCATTTATTTCAACGTTCCTACAAATTTTATCCGGTCAAAAATGTTTGAGAAGTTTGAAATATGGAATTCTAAAAAAGAGAGAGAGAGAGAAAGAGAACGTTACAACAATCTGATACTCAAATCGTAAATCTGTCGTCATGACAGTGATGCGCCTCGATCAATCAATAGATTGACATAGAAACAGTATAAAAACATGTACGACAAACACTTCGTAGTTATTGCATGTCGTAAGAATGGCTATTAAGTGTTTCGACCTTACGGCGAGCATGAAGACGGGAACGTATAGGCTGTCAGTAGGTTATTAGGCTACGATTTAGTTCGTATCTAACTATTAACATCCTCCATCTCACCATTTTACCTTTCGAGTGAAATGTCGTTCAAGTCCCAAATTTATCCTCGAATCGATATTTTCAGATTTCGAGGAAAATATTCTCGACCAATCATTTCCAATGTATCTTCCCTATCCATTCGAACTTTTGAATCCAAGCATAAAAGAAAAGGAAAAAGAGATCTATCTCTCTATTTCTTTGTCTTCCTTTTTTTTCTTTTTTTTTTTTTTTTTTTTTTTTTTTTTTTTTTTTTTTTTTTTTTTTATTGAAACTTCCTCAATCCAGAATAATCTTAACGCCAACGAGAAAAAAAAAAAAATAATTTTATTGGATCGTGTTTCGATGTTTGATGTTGCCCTTGGCAAAATGACATAATAATTCGCGTTCCACATCGTGGAACCGCGAGCGCAATCGCGAATGCAAACGTGCAGTTCGATTAAATTATTGCAAGGAGCGCGATAAGAGATTTAAGCGCTTCGTGCTACTAAATTGTTACTTAAGCACTTCGACCTAATGCCGAGTGTCAAGATGGAGGAGAATGACTCGATCTGGCCACTGGGTTAGCAGGGTACTATTCGCTTGTACTTAACGACTAACATCCTCATCTGTGCATTGTACCTTCCGAGTTAACCCAATGATAGCGTACCCTGTATATGATGCAGATGCGTAGCTTATATTTAAATCGATAATATACACATCGAGTAGAAACAGATCTTTTAGACCGTTTATGCGAATAACAGGGATTGCAAATATCGTTGAAAATAATCAAATATGGATCGACTCATCTGAATCTTATCGCGACGATGTTCAACATTCGGATTAAGAGGAAACGGATTATTAGAATTCTCAGAAAAATCGTTTATCGTCCTCGAAGAAAGAAATTTCATATATTATATTAAAATTGTCAAGATATCGAAGAACACGCATCGCATTCTGTGGGATATGGTATCGTTCGAACGAACCGTGCGACGACGATCAACAAATTACACGTGTTATCAACGTTCCCATTTATTACGGTGTGTATATCGGGAGAGAGAAGAAAACAGGATGACCAAAAATAGATTTAATAGTTACACGAGTACGAGACACGTCGTCCGCAAGCGGACGATGCAGAGGAACGATGCAGTGCAGACGGAGCAAGGAGCAAAATAAATTTTTCGTTCGGCGATAAATGTCAAGAGGGAGGAGGAGTGAGGAAACGATGGACAATTCGAAATTTTGAAAGAAGAAAATTAAACGGAAACGGAGGAAAATTTACCTCGTAGCTCCAGGTACAAGGTATACCGGCGTACTTTTGCACGCATCTTCCCAATTCAACGTCTTCGTGCGTGGTGTACAGATGTCTGAGGCAATACTTGATGTGCGGCACGATTCTTCTCAACGTCTCCCTGGACAGAATAACGCCTGGCCCGCCCATGCAAAAATTCTCGTCGTACTCCAACGAGAGGAGACCGAACTCCTCGGAGTTTCCTCTTCCCGCTTGGCCGATGTACATGGCTCTGTTCGAATTGACGGATCGTAATAATTGTTCCAGACGGTCTGTCCTCACGTAAACGTCATCGTCAGCCCTGAGAAACCACTCGAAACGATCCCCGTAATTGTTCCACATGTACTGCAGCATCATGAACGATTTCTTCTGGGGTGGATACGTATCGTCGACCCGCGGCAATGCCACCAAAGGTAGATCGGGACAATTCTTCGGGACTATCGAGTTTTCGGACGAGAAGAAGGCAATTTTTCCTGGAAGCTCCTTGCCCCAAGTCTCGTACACCGCTTTGGCTCGCGAATCTAGGTACTTGCTCGCTGTCATTACGCCCACGAACACCAAACTGGTCGAGGAACTGTTTATCTGTTCATCGTCTTCCAATTTGGGAACGTTTCTCGCCGATGGTTTGATCAAAAGCCGCGAGCCAGGCATCGAGGACGCGTAAACGTTCAACCGTTGATGTTGATGAGTCGAGGAGAGTATCTTGTAGCTTTGGATGAGGAAACCTAAGAGAAGGCCCACTATCAGGCCCAGAATGGCGCTGGCCAGTCCACGTCGTTTACGCATCACTGGGTGAAACGTCACCTCATCCATTGATCTCGTGGAGTCTCTGGATCTCCGGCTGGGTTCATCGTCATCTTTCTAGCACCCGTGATCCCCTTCTTTAATGATTTCAATGTGTTAATTAGCGTAATTGCTGGAAATTCTTCGTACGATCCCATCGCTCCTCCTTCTCGATACCGAGCACCGGTTGCTCAAACCTGTGGAACAACGCTTGATAATACCTCTCTTCTTTTATATTCGATATTCGCGACAATCCGAAAATCCAGTGAACGAACGTTGATTGATTTATGATCGTAAGCGTTACGGAAATCAAGAGAGAGAGAGAGAGAGAGAGAGAAAGAGAGAGAGAGAGAGAGAGAGAGAGAGAGAGAGAGAGAGAGAGAGAGAGAGAGAGAGAGAGAGAAGAAAAATAAAAAAAAATAAAGACACCTGGATGAATTTGACGTTCGGCACGTTTCAAAGGAATATAATATTCTTTATATTCATTGGACTTTGGCACGACACGTTCGTTTGCCATTTAAAGAGCAAACTTTAGCTGTGTATTTTTTGCCTTGTTCTCTGTATGACTATAAAAGCGCTCGTTGTTTGGTCAGTCGTTTATTTTTACATCAGCCTTGTGGGAAACGAATTGAACGAAACCGATTATCTTCGTCAAACGATACGTTATCTTCGGATATGATGTAACTAGTCGGTTATTTCGTAAAAACCACTATTACTTACATCGAATATTTTTATCAACAACGCCAACAACTGCATTTCGTCGAATCCCATAGTTGTTCGGGAAGATTTCGAAAAACCTTCGCGAAACGATCGTTCATGTTAATCTGAAAGAAATACAAAAAAAAAAAAAAAAGAAAAAAACGGTGGTGCTGAATTATAAACGGCCCCATTATATTTCGTGGGTAAAAATTGATACGATCAATTATGCACGATCGATCGAGGTCGCACACGTGTTGACCAATACGCGACTTGAACTTTCGTCTCGCCAATTAATATTTGATTTTCAATACGTGGCTTCGCTTTGGTACATTGAATATTTCGTAACTCTTCGATTGTTGTACGCCGATAGATTAATATAATAATTCGTATTCGTTCGTCGTTTGAATCATGCGTGCTCGATGAGGCAATCCTATCCTATCGATAATCGATCGAAACGATCTCTCGCTCAATCGACAGATAATATTCAACTTAATGAATTCGATTATCCGGGATTTGAATCGGGATCGAGCAATTGTGAAACTTGAAATTGATTATCCGATTCTGTCAGGATTTGGTTACCTTCGCGCAGTTGGTATTTTCTGCTGTTACGTCGTGAGAACGACGAACAGCACTGTGCAAAACCGCAGGTTAGATAATAGTCGGATAATAGTATATCCAGGAACGAGGACTTGGCGCCGTTAGAAGACGTTCTTGATCAATTAATCCGATACTTGGCTCATTCTAGTAACACGAATAACGAGAAAACACGTTTTCTCTAAGAATGTTTTGCATTCTTCGGTTTGCACTTTTTCGGTTTTTCAGAAGAAGAATACCGTTAAGTATTTTTTTTTCCTCCCCCTCTCCCCGCCGTGTTTCGAATTTCAAAAAGGACGTAGCAATTCCCACTTATACGCGTTTGTCGATCTGTGAAAATATAATGCAAGAAGCAAGCAAACATTCGTCTTCCGAACGGTTAGTTTGAGATTGATTCCCTAAACGGCATAGGCGAAGAATTGTCCCTTGAGAAAACCGGTTTCCAGGCAAACTGATATACATATCTTTGCGAATGCGGGCAGTTATCGAATTTCGTTGCACAAAGGAATCGTTTTATTCGCGCGAAACCAACAAGGAAAAACACGTGATGTACCGTAAAATACTAGTTAACGGTTAATTCGATTCTAAAACAGGGATATATGTTGTTTCCGCGAGAATAGAAATGGCATTAAATCACGAGGAAAGGACTTTCTCGTTAACTGTAAATTAATTATTCGTTAAATGAAAGGTCGCTTGATGGTCATCGACGATTGTTGGTAGTCGTTATTCACACACCAGTTTCCGTTCCCACAATCTTCCCGCGTTTATTCTCGGTTGTGGAACGGGGAAAAGAAAAATCAGATTCCCGTTAAAATCCACGGTTAATGCGATTTATCTTGGCTCTGTGCAATAATATTTAATAGAAGACGACGCGTAAATTTAATATTCGTCCGCGCCGCGATTAATCTTATCAGTTTGAACAAGATTGCTACGAATAATAACACCTTTGAAGATAATTTGAAGTGCGAGGAAAATTGGCGCGGTTGTTTTATCGATATTTCCATCGTTCCTCTTCTCTTTCTTCATACCTTTTTCACGAACGAATTCAACGACGAGCGATGATGATCTTCATCGTTGGAGAGAATACGCTTTGATACCGTTAGATGATGCTCGTAGAAATCGATAGATTCGCGTCGACACAATAGTGTTGACAATCGCGATTACACGGTTGAATCGGTAAATCCACGAAATCCCGGTGTTCGTCCCGTTAAAGGATGCGATTCGAAGTGACGTGCAGGAATGAGGAGGTATAAAGGCGGGAGAAGAACCGGTTTAAGCCGAAAGTCAGCTCCAGATCTCCGCTAGTTTCTAAGGTAGGATACGACTCCTAGTTCTTTACTTTACGAGCAAGATAAAGATGAGTCAGGAAAAAGAAGAATCTCGAAGATCATCATCATCATCGTCATCGTCATCGGTATACCACGAATAGAAATAGTCGATTTACCCTCGTCTCTTTTAAAATAATCTTCGAGAAAGTGGAAATTGAAATTTACATATATACGAGGTATGCACGAAAATATATGAAATTCGTATGAATTTTTATATACACTTTACGAATAAGTGCGACAATATTCAAAAGAGTGACGAAATTTCCATTTATTTTAATCAATTCTACGAGAGAGATTTGCATACGTTTGGTGAGTCACGATAAAGTGGTCGACTGGTTGGAACACACGTTGCGGTTAAATTCTCGTGACTGTCCGGTCTCGTTAACTTCCGAACGATTGTATTTTCGAAAGAAGTGGGAGCTGGGATCAAGCGAAGAACCGAGTTATTAAAAGTTGTTGCGTGGAACGATAGTAGCCTCCGCTAATTGTTCCCACAGACATCGAGCCGCGGTTCAGGCCAAATCATACGCGGCAAAAGCCTCGCGTTAGAACAGCAGACTTGTCCTAGCCGTGACTCGAATCGAAGACAAGCAGCCTGTACAAGTTTCAAAGAGTCATCGACTTTTCGAGTTCGAGAGCACGATAATAACGAAAGGCTTTTGCGACCTCTCGACGATCGCGGTTCACGGCTGAACAATCTCATTAAACGGCAACTCCACAGAGTTCTAAACAAATATTCTTTGTATTCGAGCCGTCTTAATTTATTAAAAGCACTTACGTAAGCCAGCCGGAAAAATAAACTTCGAATTTCATCCTGGGAATTTACAATATCACGCTCGATCGAATTCTCACTCGCGAAACAACAAGATTCTCACAATCACTGTTCCGACCGAAAATCTTTCGATCGTTGTTCCGCGCATATCCACGACACCTTCCTTAACTTTCCACTATTCAATTTATATTAAAATGGTATACGCGCTCCCCTATTAGGCGAAGAAACAAACAGATCTCCATTAGTCACTGGATACGTATACCTTGGTTCTTAAGAGCAACTTACTCTTCTTCCGACCGGGTTCAGCGTTCGGCGTGTGCACGTGGGTCTTAACTGGCGCCGAAAAAAGCCGGGTTACGGCCCCGCTGCATCCGCCACGGTATGACAGAAACCGTAAACGAAGAGATGATGAGAGAAACGTGGAAAGGCACGGAGGCCCCCGTGCTGGCACCGGCCGCGGTCGTGTTGCGAGCAGGATGTCGGAGCGGCGACTGAACCAGACGAGACTGAAAGCCGGCTAGCAGTCAGCCAGTCGAGCAAGCAGTCGTCAGGCAACAAGCAGTCACCCGGCTAGACCCAGGCAACCTGATCGGCCGGGATATACTAAAGCTTTTCAACGGACGGGGCAGAAACTTTTCGTTCAGATATCAAGGAAATGGAGTCGATATACGTAGCTTTAGTTCTATGCTCTTGACCTCGGTTACTTTCGATAGAATTCGATTCGATAACTTGTCTCCTCTGTCTATTAGATACGATCCATTTATCGTATGATCGTGGTATCCGATGATAATATTTTTTTTTTTTTTTGCAGATTTTTGAAAAGTTAAAAGGGAAGATATGGAAAATTATATAAGAATTTCTTTAATGTAAATGTTTTTTAAACGAGCTTGCAACGATTTTTGCAACTGGAATCTTGAATCATGAAGAAGACACGCGAGTGTTCGCGTTGATATATGTGCGATGCATGAAAAAGCAATGAACTGTAAAATTACTCTGTGTGTGTATGTGTGTATATATATATATTTCAATAGGAGTGTTGCGATTAAATTAGTCGACTCGAAAATCAGTCGAACGAATGGTTTTCTATTTTTACGGGAGAATTATCGATATAGACCTGATTACCTAAATTTTGGAACAAACGGTATACGGTCGAACGTAAACGGATTCTAAATTTAGAACTCGTGACCCTCTAAAAGTACTCTTATCTTGTGGGAACTTTATACACCTCGAGACAACTTTTAAAAAAGACGAATATGTTTTTAGAAATTTTTAAAAATTAAAAAATTGCTATTGAAGTTAAATCTTCTTTCTGGATGTATATCGTGGGTATTACTATATATATTACTAACTTTATCAATCAAAGATAGATAGATAGATAGATAGGCGTTCTTGATATCGTTACGATACTTAGTGAATTCATTGTCATACGCGATATTACTATTCTCTATTCATGTTCACGTCCGATTGTGAGTAAGCGAGACATTTGTTTACTCTTGTCGAATGCCTAGAGAGGAACGAGTTGTATACACGAGTATATCTGCTTAACGTATTGTGTAACAAGATGCATAAAATAAATGTGTAGCACACACCTACGCGATCGTCGCGTGCTCGCGTTAGAACGTAGTAACGAACGTTACTAAAGGCCGGTTAGTAAGAACAGTCGAAGCTGACACACTATAGCGTCGCGTCCGTAAAGCAGGAACTTCCGTCGAAATAGAAGCGAATTGAACTACCTTTACGCTTCGTGAATTTCATATTATCTCCCATTCGCCATGCTCGATCCTTGTTCGAGCGGAACGATCGGATTAAGACGCGAAGGAGCGACATAGGTGTGTTATAAAAATTTTAAAAAGATCGTAATGTCGTGTGTAATATCGAGCAACACGCAACTTAGAGAAACGGATAGTTCAGCTCGAATAGTTTCGTTTTTTTTTTTTTTTTTTTTTTTTTTCGATATAAGCTTGTTCCGCGATTATTTTATCTAGTCGAATTATATAGTCTTATCGTGGTTGGGTAACGAGAATTCTAATATGATTCAAACGTTTACAATGAAATTAAATTGGCGGGCCGGATGAATCGGGCGAAGAAGGAAAGAGTTGCTCGAGTTAAATAATTTTATTTTTAGCCGCCTTGTGGATATCCTTTAGCCGGAAAGGCGGAGAATAAAGAGGAATCGATCCCTCGAATTCTACACACGTGATAACCTTTGATTTTTAGGCCATCTTTGTTACGATTCTTCGATTAACAGTGTTTATTACTTTCTGGGAAGTTAGCGATTTCTAACTACTGTGTGTCAAGGAAAAATTATGAAATGAGAACGAATTGTAAGCAAATGAAAAAGAAACTGTACCGGAATAATCTTGTCCTGTTTGATGTATTTAGAACTTATTATTCTTACCCTCTAATGAAATTTATTTAAACAACTTTTTTTTAAAAATACCTTTTTTTATGATAAATATAATGGTAAATATAATGGTAAATATTTAAACAAAAATTCTGACTTGAAATATATTTTTAAAAATATTTAAGGTAAGTCTGATTGTTCAGTTCTACGTGTTTTGCATTATCACAGATTTATCAAATGAAAGATTCGATCGTCTATATGTATAAATAATTATGAAAAAAAAAAAAAAATCATAAAAAAAATTATATAGAAAAAATTATTTTTATTTTTTATTAAAAATATTTGTTTAATGTTAGATTTAATGCAATTTAAATTTTTAATTAATATAATTATATAATATCTAAAATTATGTAAAATCTAATATTTATATCGTTCTGTTTAAATTCTTTATGAAATTATTACAGATATAAATGTTATTATTCAATGCAATGTTTTCTTATGCATTATGCAACGACTAGAAGATTGCATTTTTATGTAAGAAGGAAATTAATATGTTTTGTTTGGTAAAAATGTGAATTTATAATAGATAAATTATGATGAAAATGCATTTTTCAATGCAGATGAGCTTATTCTCACCTCAATTAAATGGAAAAGATTTAATTTTTTCTGTATATCAAACGAATCTTTTATATTTTAAATTATATGTGATTTAAAATTTCCCGCCAATGTAAAAATAATATGGCGGAAGCTCTGTGACGACAGATCGTTGAACCCAGAAATACTACTATATTCAACTAGTATATTTATTTCGACATATTTTTGACTTATTCATTAACAACATAGAAACATTATTATTGACCATTGCATTAATTATTTAGATACATATTGAATTCATTAAATATACATAATATTTTTTTCAGGGTTGTAATAATTGTAATAATCCAACTTGTATAGATTATGAAACTCGTAGATTAATATAAAATATTAATAATAATTGACTGTTTGAATGATAGAAATATTAATTATTTTTGTTTCAAATATATAATATTTTTTAAGAAAAAATATAGTTATGCAAGATAAAAATATTTTAATGAAAATAAAATATAAAATCGTAGTATTTGTATTGCAGAGGGCGTAATTTTCCTGTATGCACGTCCCTGAAGTACTGAATACGATTGCTGATTTGACTAGTGTACCAGCGGAAGTGACGCGAGTCGCTTCGTTACGTTTACATTCTGTTCTCGACGTCGCGTTCATTGTGGGGAGCCATTACCCTCGTCCGCGCTAAGCATCGTGCCATATTCCCATTCGCGCCCTAATACTAACAACATTCTCGTAGTTTTAAGTGAAATATTATGAGAGTGAAGACCGAAATGGACGACGACGAAAAGGGGTAAGTCTGAATTGCATATTACTAGCCATTGAAAGGTATTTTTATGCGAGAATTTTCGATCGACGCGTTCATGGACTGTCGGGTTTATTGCGTGGGATCTCCATTGCGTATTGCAGTTACTTCGTATCTCTTACTTGCTTTCAATGTTTGCTTGATCATGAGCTAAATTGCTTATCTATATTACGCAAAACGTCATCATGCTTCGTTATTCATATATGATTTTTATGATATGCGAGGCCAATCTTTTTTTCCTGCAGCAATAAACGATGAGATATGTGGTTTTTCGTGAGAGGGGAATAGTACGATGCCGGTTCTGCATAGTGTTCTTAATACTTACGACTCTTTTGGTTGTTTAGATGTTACTCTTTTGGAAAAATCGACAAGCACGAGTATGGTGGTTTAGAATATTATGTATATTTTTGATATTTTATTTCGGTGTGAAAGTATGCTACTGCATCGTCGTTTATTAGATCCTTCAATTCTAGATTCTCTATTTTTATGCTCTATATCCTGAAAGATCAGAGCATTTCAATACTCCATCGCTACGCGATTTTCTTACACGTTTGACCAATTGTGATTATTGATAGATATGTGTTAAACAGCATATTATTATGCATATATCAATTTTTCCGTGAATTTTCATTACTGATAAAAAAAAATGCGTCATAAAATACTTCAATATTATGTGCATTATGGATTATTATCAAAATTAGGTCATTGATAAATATATTTTACAATATAAATCGTGTATTTTTTATGCGTGTTAAATAAAATTATACTTTGCTACTTCTTACGTTAATTAACCTAAATTTAATTTACTACATTAAATTTATCAAAATATCAAAATTTTCTTTTATTATATAACGTATTATAAAAAATGAATTCGAAAAACGTTATTCTATTTATATTGTTTCGCGTATCGTAATTTATTTAGAAGACATTTTTTATTAATATTATTTATATAAGTCTATTATTTATTTCTAAAAAAATTTTTTCTTACAGAAAGTTGTTTGTTGGTGGTTTGTCCTGGGAGACAACACAAGAAAATCTTCAACGTTACTTCGGCCGTTATGGCGAAGTAATTGACTGCGTTGTTATGAAAAACAGTGAATCTGGTCGCAGTCGTGGTTTTGGATTTGTAACATTTAGTGATCCAGCTAATGTTCCATTAGTTCTTCAGAATGGACCACATCAACTTGATGGGCGCACAGTTAGTATTATTTTAACACACAAAAAAAAAAAAAGAAATTGATATAGATATAGATAAAAAAGAAAATTTATCTATATTTCCCATTATTTGGTTATAGATTGACCCGAAACCATGTAATCCACGCACTCAACAGAAACCAAAACGCAGTGGAGGCTTTCCGAAAGTTTTTCTTGGTGGCTTACCAAGTAATGTGACAGAGACCGATTTGAGGTCTTTCTTTACCCGTTTTGGTAAAGTTATGGAGGTTGTCATAATGTATGACCAAGAGAAGAAGAAATCAAGGGGTGAGTACATTATAATAATTATTTGTATGTAATTAAACCAGTATTGTTTGAAGTGGTTTCCATTTAATAACTCATGTTAATAATAATTTAAATACATAATGAATATGATTTAATGATATTTTATGTATTTAATGGTATTTTTTTTAATTATTATGGAAACTATAAAAAACAATGCTCTATAAATATTTAAATATCATATCATCTTGTTTCTTATATGATGAAAAGTATAGTCAGAATTCTTGAAATAAAAATTTTTTTATAATGTACAATTGATACAATTTATGATACACACTATTATATTATTATATATGTATACATATTATTATTATTATTATTTATATATATATATATATATATATATATATATACACGTGTGTGTATATATATATATATATATATACATATACTTAATCAAAAATTCTGACTTGAATGCAGCACACCCATTATTTAATTAAAATAAAATATTAAAATTTTATTTAGATTAAAAATATAAAAACAAAAAAGTGCAAACTTTAAAATTAGTAATTAATATAAAGTTAATATGATTTTGTGCCTAAGTCAGTTAATAATTTATGGTCATTGAACTTCCTCTGCTTGATTACCTTTTTTTTAATGACCCTGCTCTTGCTTCCTTTAATAATTATAATTAATATATCCTGATTCACAGTCTTAATAATTAATATTATTTATTTTCAATATGTATTTATAAAATATTTTAAGATCTTATACATGAAACTCACAATGCATTATACATAGTTATTTATGTAGTGTTCTTATCCTATTTTGCTACTCTTAATAATTCGCCTTGTCTTACCTTAAAAAATGGTTAAGATACTTTATGTTATAAAATTAAATTTAATATTAAATATATATACATATATATTTATATATATATATATTGTGATTTGGCTAAGCTTTATTAAGGATAGCTTAAGACTTTACCAGGTTATTAAGTACATAAGTTAAAATGTACATAACTTAAGTCAAGTTAAGCTACTAGTAAGTGTGTTGTAAATTCGATTTTTTATTAGTATTATCCATTTATTATTCATTGAACAAACTCATTTAGTTATATTTATCTTTAATCATATTATATGTATATGGAAAATTACTTATAATCTACAGCTTATATTGATTATGTTAAATTAAGATATTATTAATTTTGATAACTTTTTTACTTGAAAATTTTTTACTTTAATATAAAAATTTTTATATTTGTATAATGTAGTAATTATTCAGTATTCAGATAGGTATGTTACTTCTTTGTTCTTTATATATTTATTCCTTTTTGGTGGCTGCATTCAAGAAGTCAATACATTTAATGAGTACAACAAATGAATTTTTTTTTATCCATTTTATTATTTGAACAAGACATATACTTTCCTGTAATTGAGATGATATGCATTGATGGATATATATTTATAATGTAATTGATAATCTTTTGTGATATCTTGAAAACAAAATATTAACAAAAGAATATTGATGCTTTACATATTAAATATCATTAACAATCTTTTAAAGTAGAAGTATATAAGTATTTAAAAACTTCTTTAAATCAGCCATCATAAATTTATTATAGATTAAGTATTTTAAGTTTATGAATATTTAAAATGAACATTACTATATAAATTTTTGTAAAATAAATGTTTACAAAATATTAAAAAATACATATTTACACTGACATTAACAAAATTATATGTAAGATACTATAAATACGTTTTTCCAAATTAATAATAATTATCATTTATACAATAAAAGATAGTTAATGTAAAGATGTACAAATAAATGAAAGAAGAAAAAAATAAAATGTAATATTGATGGTATGATAAAAATTTCAAATGGTGGGGTTATATAAAAGAAATGTATTTTTTGTATAAATATATGGGGCATCTTTTGATATACTCTCTCACGTTTGGACGACAGGATTTGGCTTTCTCAGTTTCGAGGATGAAGATGCAGTGGACCGATGCGTAGCGGAGCATTTCGTCAACTTGAATGGAAAACAGGTATAGCATACCTACACACTAGTATATATTATATATTATTAGATTACTGTAATGTAAAATAATAATAAGTACGAATAAGTATGATAATTTACTGTTATATATCATAATTATATTTATATGTTTTATATAATTATATTAGTTATAGTACTTATTTTATTTTACACAATTTTCTCATACTATGTTACTCTTAACAACTGTATGTTTAGTTCTTATTATATAAGTATCAATTTAAAAAAACGTTTAGAATTATCGTACATATGCGTTATATGGCAAGTCAAAAATTAGAATATATTTAGAATCGATGTAAGACTTGGCGAGTTTTAAAGGTTTAATCTTATACTTTTATGAAGAAAAAAAGAAAATTAAAATTAAGGTATAAATAGGATTACTTTTATTCGATCGAGGTCGAAATCCTATTTCATATCTCTTAATTCGAATCATGAAATATGAACGATAATGATTTTCATTCAGATTGTTTGATTATTTTTGGTTACAGGTTGAAATCAAACGCGCAGAACCAAGAGATTCTTCTAGCAAAATGAATGATAGTCATCAAGGTCAGTGGGGACCACCTCAACAAGGTGGACCTCCAATGGGAATGGCTGGGAATATGGGACCTATGGGTGGTCCAAATGGACAGATGAGTGGACCTATGATGGGAGGTCCAATGGGTCCACCAGGAAATATGATGCAGCAGTATCAAGGTTGGGGTACCAGTCCTCAAACTGGAGGATATGCTGCTGGATATACTCAGTATAATTCTCAGGGCTGGGGTGCACCACCTGGCCCTCCTCAGCAACAACAAATTCCACCACCACCTCATCATCAATGGGGTAGTAGTTATAATGTTCAACCTGCAGCAGCTACTCAAGGTTATGGAAGTTATGGTAAGTTTTTAACATAATTTTCTTAGTTTAGTCTCATTTAAATTCTTTTTTTTTTCTTTTTTTTTCTTTTTTTTTTTTTTTTTTTTTTTTAATATTAATAGTTTAAGTATTAATAATTTTTTAATCTCAATAGTTAGTAACGATAATATTTTTTATAAATTTTGAATTTCGAATTAGATTTATAAATTCAATTTAAAAATTTTGATTTTATATTTCTTTAGAAGATAATATATGATAAGTTTAACAAAACTTTTATCCTATCCTTTTCCTTTCTATCCTTGGTGAAAAAACAATAAAGATAAAAATATAAAAATATAACAAATATCTATAATAAATTATAATATATTAATTAATCATTTCTCTCTCTCTCTCTCTCTCTCTCTCTCTCTCTCTCTCTCTCTCTCTCTCTCTCTCATATTCTTTGGAGGTTATTATAGAAAGAGAATATAATAGGAATATCATAAATGTATATCGAAATTATATCAATGATTCATGATTCATTTCTCATATGATTTTAATATTATATCTATTTTCTGTATTATAAAAAATTTTTTTTTGTTTTAATTTATTTATATATTTAAATTCACAGTTTTATTTCAGAGTAATTTAAACTTCAGCATTGTGATTTCTTCCTTCATGCTTGCTTTCCTTAAAGAATACGAAACAAATATAAAATTTAAAAAAATGTATTTTTATATTTCTCTTTATTTTTCTTGGCTGAAAAATTATTTGATGATTATTATGATATATTTATCATTCATAGAATCTTGACGTAGTCCAATATATATTTACAATTTTAAACATATATTCTTATCGCAATGTTAATTTTATTATTTACTGAGGGAATCGAGCATGAATGTTTAAATGAAACGGTATAACGGTGAACGTTAAGAATGCTAAAGAAAACGAACCATTTTAGTGCCAAGGATAACAATAAACTAACAGGACTAACTATAGGGAAAATTACCTGAAAGTAACTTCTTTTTAAAATTTACTGCAATAAAGTAATTTACTCGGCTTTACTTTGGAAAGTTTTCAGGTAAGAAACTTTTCGACTCATAAATATGAAAGAAATTGGAAAACGGTTTCTCAAATAGAGAGTTACAGTATTCTTTCCTTTAATAAAATTTCTCTAAAAATATAATGTTTATTTCTTTTATTATACATTTTTGAAATTTCGAAAGTCATTAAAGTTATATTATTTTTGATTGATGCGTTCTTGGCATTAAAACGACGAATTATATTAATAAGAAATTTGGAAAAAATGATATGACATATTTTGTGTGATTGATAATCGCAGGTGGGCCGGCAGCGGCCGCTTCAGGGGGCTATGGGCCCACAGCGGGTACTGGCGGGGCTGCGGGGGGCGGGCCCGGGGGTTCTTGGAACTCCTGGAATATGCCACAAAATGGGCCCCCTCCTGGGACTCAGCCACCACCTCAGCCCCCTCAGCCTAACTCCTCGCAGCCCAACTCCAACTCGAACCCCTCTGGCCCGCAGGGTGAGTCTTCAACCTCAGTCAAACAAACTCTTTCCTCTTTCCACCCTTTCGCATCATACAGTTCTATTTTCACATAGTCGAGCCTGGCTATAAATTATTTTATTTTATTATCTATTGATTTTTTTTGTCTTTCTTTCTCTCTTCTTCTTTCTCTATCTGTTTAAACTAGAAAAGAAAAAAAAAATATTTTTTTATACATATATGATAATTAACTAATTAGAAAATCATTATCACTGGTCGTATCAGGGTGTGTTTGTATACAGACTGATCATTATTTTTAATAACGATCGATAAACACGCGGCGAAGTGAGACGGCATGATTGTAATTTGGCGTGATATATCGAGAGAGATCATGCTTCGCTTATTAACAGTATTTTTTATTGCGGAAAAATTTATTGTACAGTTAAGTATTTCCTTTAGATCGTCCACAAGAAATGTAATGCCTGTTTCTTTTATAATAACTTTTGTCTGTTAACATACAATAAATTAATGTTATTGGCTTTTGGAGTTCACCGAGAGATGAGTTTTTCATGCATTGAGGTTGGAAGAACGAGAAACCGAAGAATTTTAAATTGTGTTGTAAATGGAAGAGAAAAATTTATTTTTTACTGAATAAAATTTGAATCCTATTACGATCCTCTGCTGTTCCTCGATTCCTTAATATTTGCACATTCGTTAGTTCATTTAATTATCTGGTAATTTTTACATGTCTTTGCGCTTGTTCTCTTTTTTGCGTCTAGAATGTTGAGAGCATGTAATTTCATTTGTACAAATTATAAATATACGTAGTTTTAATGCAGATCAATTTAGGATTATAAAAAATGTAAATCACATCGTTTTATATATCTTTATTAGTATATACTTAAAGGTAGAGAGCTACGCTTAGAATATTCGTTATGCTTACAAACGTTTTAGACAAGATTCAGTGGATATCGTAGTATTGTAATCATCGGCATTCCGCACTTATTCATCCATTACATCACTCTTAATTTTTGTAATTTTTTAATCCGAAATCGATCATTTTTTGTCCTATTTGTAATCCAATACAAATATTTTCTTTCTACTTTCATTGGTTGTTTTTTAATACCTCCCAGAAAAGTAATTGGCCAGTGTTCCTTTAGTTGTCGTATTTTTTAGAGTAGACTAGATATTTGCAAATAATTTTTTAAGTGTATTTATATTCTTCTAATCTATTGTAATGCCATTGTAAAAAAAGGAATATAAAAATTTTGAATTTGTAAAAAAAAAAAAAAAATGTACTATAATGTAGTATAGTGCAATCCTGATCTCGTTTCTCCCATTTCCTTTGTCGACCAGTATAATCTGAATCGAATTCATATCTGTTCGAATTAATTTTTTTAATACCTTTTTTGCAACTTCTTGCTAGATTTTCTTTATCAGTTCTTTATTAAAATTCGCTCGATTTAATTTTATACATATAATATAATAAGATTATATTTTAACAATTTTTATTCTTAATTACGATAGATGTTTGTAATCTTCTGAGATCAGTACAATTCTCTGCTTATTTTGCATAATCAATCTTTTATAAAATTAACGTAAACTGCATTCGTTTTTTTAATTTCTCACGATGCTTTCCATTTACATGTAACATCTTATACATGTTCTCTAAACATAAAACTGATCTCGATAATTTTAATAATATTATAATAATCCTTCTATATTTTGAAAATATTCTTTATTATATATTTCTGTAAAAAAAAAAAAAAAAAAAAAAAAAAAAAAAAAAAAAAAAAAAAAAAAAAAAAAAAAGAAAGAAAAGACAAGAGAGATATATTTTAGATACTTTCGTTCAATTCACCAATTATATAAATATTCATAATTCTAATATATTATTGAAGAATATATAATTATATTTGGATGGTTTGAAAGTGCCATGAAAAGTATCAAAAATGTATCTTTACCGTGGGAAGAAGTATATCCCACAGCTTATGAATAAACGAAACGAGGTAAGTGGGGAAGTTGGATAATACGATGAAAATCAATGTTCCAGGTGACATGTATTCACGACAGACCACCGGCTCAGGTGCACCTGGGTCCAGTAGCAGTTCAGCTAAAACTCCGGATTATACTGGGTACTCTGCATATGGTAATTACGCTGACACCAGTTATCCTCAGCGTTCGTATCAAGGAGGAGAAAGCAACCAAGGTGGGTATGCCGCCAGCGCCCCTAAACCCCAGCAAGGCTTTGATTTCAAAGAGTGGCCCACCTCATGACCATTTTAATTGACCCGTGATGGAGAGATGCGCTGAATGGCTTGGCCTTGCTCGTGGGTTATTTCATATTACATATTTAAAAAAAAAAAAATAATAATAAAGAAAATAAAAATAAAAAAAATAAAAAAAACAAAAGAAAAAAAAATAAAAAAAAAAACAGAGATATTGCGCATTGATCGTGAGAATCTGCGCTCGATTCTTGGGACATTCTTTGGTTATATTCTATTTATATTTAACAGTAGTAAGAAACAGATTTTATTTTCAGTATGTTGGTAGTAAATTGTTGTGAGAAGAATTTTGGGGAGTTTGATACTATTTTCTTTTTCTTTCTTACAGAATTTATTGTCGATTGTGTGCGTCGAATCGAAATACCGTACTCGAGATTTTTATTTATCGATGTTTTTTAACTCTTGAAAAATTTTGTCGGGAATTGTTCGTACAAAGAATGTCTCCATCGAGCCGGTATGTCGTTCGCGAGCGGTCGTACTTCCAGTTTTTTAACGATCTTGATGAAACATAATACTTTTTGACATATCTTTTTTGGCAATCGAAAAAAAGAGAAATGCATCTTGGCCAAGTTTGTAAAACGGAAGCGTCAAAGAAAATAGGGTGTGTTAGGTTTCTCGAAACATTGATTTCATTGATCGCTCGCGTGAACGGCCCATGATCTTGTTGGGTTTCAAAAGTACAGTGGAAACAATTGAAACCACAGGCTGAAAGACGTAAACTGAAAGAAACATAAAGCAAAGCAGATGAATATAAAAATGGTAGGATAAAAAAATGGACACCCATGGTGCAAGCGAATTTTGTATGGCACTGGGATAGAGGGTAGGAAGCGGAACATAGAAGTATTATAAGAGTTAAACTAGAACAGATGGAATAAGTGAACTAAAGCATTAAAGTAAAAAGCGAGTGTAAAGAAATGTAAGAAATGCTGAGCATTAATTACACAACAGCATTCGAGCGGGGGTGAATGAGATTTCGTTTTTTGAGATATTAATTCTCATTAGATGGCACAAATTTCGATGCTCGTTCACCTTTTTGATACTTTTAGTGAACTCTTCGGTAATTTGAAACTAAGAATATTAAGTAAAACGAAATACTATTATATTACGGTCTCCAGTGGAAGTCAGCGATTGACTTGCACATTTGAGACACCCGTCCCTCCACGATCTCGTATTTATTAAAATAGTTGTTATGCTGGAATGATGGAAAAAAGGAAAATGAGTAACGAGTAATTAACGAAATAATTAAGTAAGGTGTTCACACAGGCTGACTTATAATCTAAACTACAGAGATAGTGTATAAATAAATAGATCCTTTTAATATGATGTATGTATATCTATAACTTTATGACAGCAGGGTGCAGTTTCCTTAAGAATATGTTTTCTTCTCTTTCTAGTTTTTTATCTTCACGACGTATCATTATTAGTATATTAGGCATATCGATGTCTAATTCCCTTTTTTCTTAATTTCTTTCGCTTTTGATTTTATCTAATTTAGGTTGTCTGGTCCTTTTCCGTTTCCATCAATAAGAATTTTTATCGTTTCTGGAAGGAAGAGGACGAGAAAGAAAATAAATAAATAAATAAATAAATAAAAAAGATAATGAATTTTTTAATGAAAAATAAATTTGTATAATAAGAATGATTGGTCCGTCAGACGGGTTTCTGTACGGTCATTATTGCATTAAATGTGAAAATTAGTTTATTTTTTACTTCGGATTTATAATAGTTAATTATTAGGCATGTTTAAGATTACAATTATTGTTACTATTAATTAATTACTTCTATGATAATTATTACTATTATACTACTATTACCATTATAAACTATTTACAGCTATTTATCACTACTTACTGTTGCGACTGCTCCTACTGCAACCATTATGATTGCAACTATTATACACACTATTATTACTGTCTATGATAATTACAAATATTGTACGATGATGCTTATAAGTGTTTAAATTTTAGATGATTAGAGATGAAAAGAGATCATGATATCTAATTGATGGAGGGAGGGGTATTTGTAATTTGTGCGGTGTACTCGGCGGGGGGCTTCGATCTGAAAAGTCTACCTGATTAAATATATGACTTAATTGTATTTACTCTGTAGGATTTACCATAGTTCTAAACAAGAAATATTTCGGAAGAATGCTCTCAAATGCTCATGTTTATTACTGAGCGGGTCGCGTTGTGTCTTACTTTGTCAATAAGAATCGCAAGTATTAACGCTAATGTAATTTTAAATTTTTTACGATGTCACAATATAATCAGTAGGTTACAATTAATAACGGAACAGCAATTTGAGTAAGCTTCCTCACTATTGATCTCAATACGATTAGGGTTTTCTTTCCCTTCATGTATAGTATCTAATTGTTTTCTTGTCAAATTGTTACAATTACTATTTTTTTTTTTTTTCCTACTTTTCTTATTATTTTTACATTTTTCATTACTTATTGTAATAACATTACGAACTCTCGCGATATAAGGCGGTAAAGTTTTTTAAATCGTTGATCGACGTTAAAAAAAATATCAATTACTCTTGTACTTATTCCGCACGTCTATCTGAACTGCTCGTTACCATTTCCAATTCGGTAAATTTAATTAACAGTATCGCGTAGTTAATCGTAGAAACAGGGATACGTAAAAGTCAATGGGATGAAGAGAAAGCATTAACAAACGCGACTCGTGGAAACTTCTGGGATCAACGCAATAACACATTTACTGACTACTAAACTAAATGACAAGAAAAGACGAGTTAGGGAGCTCAATCAAACGAATACCACTTTTTACACTAATTGTTATGATAATTACACGAACACGTACTCTCAACAGATACACATTTCTTACACATACACTTCTACGCGCATAAAAAAAGTAAATTAATTAAAAACAGAGGCCACAAGTTATTGAACATCCAAATAATAGTAAATTAATAAGATGCTAAAATAGATAAAGAAAAAAAAATAATAAAATGAAAGAGATGACTTTGTGGTTGTACTAAATAATACGTTATTTAATACCTATTTGAGAGGCAGAGAGAGAGAGAGAGAGAGAGAGAGAGAGAGAGAGAGAGAGAGAGTGAGAGAGTGAGAGGGAGAGAAAGATTAGAGAGATTGTGACAGGAGAAAATTTAGAGAGAACGAGAGAAAGAGAGAGAGAGAGAAAGAGAAAAAAGTTTTTATCTTTACGGCTGTTTTTTCAGAATTTATTTTATAAAGTAATATAATAAAAAAAAACGTAAAAGAAAAAACCACTAGTAATATCGATTATGATTATAATTATTAATAACTAACTAATTGTATTCCTTACTATTATCGATTTTTAAATAAAGTTAAAGTGTATAAATTTAAAAAATTTTTAAGTGTATGCTAAAGCAGTTGAGAGAAAGTGATTATATAACATTTGATTTTATATAGACATGTTAATGATAATTAATGTGTTTGCTGGAATCATAAACGAGGTAAATTAATTTATATTATAATTAACGAGTCTCAGAGGGATGATTAAAATTATTCTAGTGAGAGAAGGGAGGAAAATGTGAGGGAGGGAAGAAAGAAAAAAAGAATAAATAAATAATGATGATACAAAGTTAAATGGCTGCCTTGCCACATTTGTACATACATATATTTTAGGGTATGCTGGAAAAGTTATAGTATCGAGATAATAAGCGAAAGTGGTAGCAATGGATTTGAAAAAAAAAAAAAAAAAATAAGACACAAAATGATGACGAGAAAGCGGGAACTAGCGGGATTATTCGAATAATTGACGATTTAATAATTATAACAGATAATATATTTATATTTAACGCAATATTATTAGTATTTTTCAATACAGAAATAATGCATCTAATTAACGTAATATGTAGCAAATAGGGAAAAATACTTTGATTCTAGCCGTTGTTACTACCTGTCGTGATCTCGTAATTTTTTACGAGTTACGACTTGCTCTCAGGGTTGTTACTGTCTTTTTTTCCACTTCTTTCTTTGAATCTTTTTCTTTTTCTTTTTTTAATTATTTTTTTTTTTTTTTATGTTCTCCCTGTTTAATAATTTTACTTACTATTAGAATCTTCAAGAATTGTTGAATGTATTTATATACATTTATTTTTAGGACGATATATCCTTCTTTGCGTTTCGTTATTTTTTGTTTTCTTTTTGTTCATATAAAGTAGGCTCTTAATTCAGTATTTAAAGAAAACATTTGTGAAATGTTTTTTTTTCTTTTTTCTTTTCTTTTTTTTTTTTTTAAATCATTTATATAAGTGATGTTATGCGAAAGAGCATGGTTTTTATTGTAAAATATTTATTGTTGATTCATAGGACTGAGACACTTTATTTCGTATAGAGAGATAATAATTGTACATTAAGATTTAAGTATTGAAAACCATAGATCGCTCGTAGATTTAATTCTTCTCGTTACTTTTAAGACATTATCAACAGGGAGAGTAAAACGAAAAAAAAAAAAAGGAAATCAACTTTATAAAACACATTAGATATGTAATTTTTACACTTTTTACACTTTTGCACGTTTTAGTATTTTCCCTTTTCTTTAAACAGTCACTTAAGATTAAAATATTCTGAAGTCTGTTCCGTATAATAATTATAAATAATTCATGCATTTCATAACTTCGCTTAATCATTATCTCTTCTACTTTTATTCCTTTTTCTTTCTTTTTTTTTTTTTTTTTTTTTTTTTCTAATGTAAAGATTTAATATAATTTAGTTATTCACTTTTGTCTTAATTTAATTAGGTAGTGCATGTATAAAATCTTTTTTAATCTAAAGAATACGCATGTTAGTTTGCAAGGTGATGAAACAAAAAAAAAACTGATAAAAATAAAAAAGAGTTAAGCATTCAATATTTAAAAACTTGATATGAGATATGATAAAATATATTATAATTCCGGGGGCGTTACATGTCTGTTT